GGAAAGTGATCTGGAGAGTTTGATGACCCCGGTGTTTTTAAAGATGTATTTTTATCATGCATGGTCTTTGCATTGCACTGCTGATCAATAAGGATTTTCTGTTTAGGTAAATCAGGCCGTCCCCCCCAGATGTCAGTCTTGCAGGAATGGTACTATGATGTACATGACAGGAATCCAGAGGGGTTTAAAGAATGCTGAGAACCTGTGGTTTTTCCCCGTCTGTGTCCCAGGGAGGTTTTCACTTCCTGTCCCGTTGACACAATAGGAAGTGAGGAAAATCCTCTTAGTGGTCACCAGAAAAAGTGTCCGTTAGACGATTTCCCCTCCTATTCCTGTTTTGGTGACAACGCAAAAGTGTGTTTTCCCACCTCTTTTATTGATCACTACAACACATAGAAGGTGAATCTTACCAGCATGGTCACAGATAGCAGGAATAATCTGCCAGGGATTCTAATCCTTCCAAGCTCCATCCAAAGCTTTAGATTTTTTTGACACACCGTCATTGCCTCTGATTTTGTTTTCGTTGGCGTAATATCTTTTTCTTTGTCTCTGCTATGACATCACAGGGGTCGCTGAGGTCTGATGGGAGAAGGGATCCAAGGGGGCCTCTGGTGTCACTTCCGCCACATGCAGGTCACCTGATTGGATTTCAGTGAGATGGTTTTTAATGGTGACAACGCTGTTAACACTTCTCCTACGGCTGACCATACGTGTAGGGCTGCAACTAAGGATTATTTTTATAATCAATTAGTTATATATTAGACTATATTTTCGATTAATCAGATTAAAAAAATTAAATACCTTCCTCAATTAAAAAAAAAAATACACAAATTCAGTGTTACAAATTTTACTTCAGAATAAAGCTGCATGCACAGTATTTTGCAAATGCACTGCACTGGAACGCATGGCATTGCGGTACCGTGTGGTCCAGTGCTGGCGATCATGTGGGTGGTGCGTTTGGGGTGCCATTGAAATGAATGGCACTGCAACGCACCTCCCGCAGCTGAATTTGTCAGGCCAAAACCGAGCATTGCTTTTTGTTTTTCTTCATATATATATATATATATATAGATAGATAGATAGATAGATAGATAGATAGATAGATAGATAGATAGATAGAGATATATATATATATATATATCATAATTGTATTGTAAGCATATGGCGCTTGAAGAGCTTCAGCCCGGGAATGACAGCTGCCAGTGGCGAGATTCCGCAGACGGCAGCTGAATGTAAATGCAGTAGGTAGTGAGCTGGTGATATAGTCAGCCTGCTATTGGCCATTTCAAATTGCAATAGCCCATGGCAGGTTGGCCATTTCACCCGCCCACTGCTTGCTGTGCCCTTCTCCCAGCATGGAGGAGAGAACTAGGGGATCCAACTAACTAATCGATAATGAAAATAGTTGACAACTATTCTAATTATCGATTAGTTGGTTGCAGCTCTACATACATGCATCAGAATTAATTCCCGCAGGATACAAAGATCCCCCCCCCCAGCCCCAATACATGCTAAACAGTTTGGATGGAGGAATCCCCACTGCCAGCTATTGTATTCAACAGCCACTGCTCAACTGGCTGCTGAGTACCCAAACAGGGCATGCATGTGATGGGGGCTGAAATTTTGGCTGACTCAGCAGTGTCTGGCCAGTGTGTAGAGGATGACAACCCTGGGGTGTGTACCCGGAAGACCCTACATCCCCCTCTTAGAGGAAGTTCCGAGGGCTACCAGCACAATCCGGTCTTTTTTTTTTTCTTTGCAGAAGAAACCCGATTTTTGTTAATTCTGCAGTTATAAATATTTTGTAACCTTTTACATAATATATATGCAATTTTTTTTTTGTTGGCTTTCGTGCATGGTCCTAGCATTGCACTGCTGATCAATAAGGCACTTTAGCTGGGAAGCATGGCAGATTTGATGTTTAGGTAAATCAGGCCGTCCCCTCCAGCAGACGGAGTCCAGCAGACTATGACAAAAAGTGAGGCTAGTTACCACCAATGCATTCAGTTCCAGAATGTTTAAAAAAGAAAAGTACTGCATGCGTTATCTTTTTCTGGCCTGGAAACCATTAACACGCATGTAGACACATGCAAATGTACCATGCTCATCTCTAGGACTTCTCTAGAGTCTCTCCCATCCTCTGGAACTCTTTACACCAACTTGTCCATTTGACGCCCACCTTGACTGCCTTTAGGCATTCCCTAAAGACTCATCTCTTCAGGGAAGCCTATCCCACCGCAACCTAATCACTCAAAGGTCACGTTCTCAAACAATTCATCCCCACACAGCTACCTCCTCATGTATCACTTGCCCCTCCCTTTTAGATTGTAAGCCCTCACGGGCAGGGCCCTCCTTACCATCTTGTCTTGATTTGTAATGTCTTCCTTATATTGTAAAGCACTGCACAAACTGTTGGCGCTATATAAATCTTGTATAATAATAATACTCAATACAAGACAAGATGGTAAGGAGCGCCCTGCTCCTGAGGGCTTACAATCTAAAAGGGAGGGGGAAGTGATGCATTAGGAATTCATTTCAGAAAAAAACGCACATACGCCTGTTTGCAGGAACGCATCCATATCTGGACTGGAGATGGTGTGGAGAAGCCCGTACGCTGGAGCTACGCAGGAGATTATTTTTTTAGTAGTGTATTTGTGATTCTGAAATCACTAGAGATTAATCACGAGGTGGAACAATTGGATGGAGGAAACGGCTACTCATGGAGTAAGTTACAGAAGTGGCTACTTGTAGCAGTCATGGTTGGAGGTTTGGGCGCTCATGCGAGATTGATTGTTACTATATGCTACTTGTGTAGCTTCTTTCACAGATAACCGTTCCTTCCATCAGTTGCGGTTCTTGTAGGTTTCTAGTAGCACCACTCAGCTGCTACAATTCTCCTGTGAAGCTCTAGCACAGGGGTAGCCAAACATCTGTCCTCCAGCTGTGGTAGACCTACAAATCCCATCATGGAAGTCATGCCTGTGGCTGTCAGTCTTGCAATGCCTTATGGGCCTTGTAGTTCCACAACAGCTGGTGGGCTGAGGTTTGGCTACCCCTGTTCTAGCATAATCGGGTGATTACTAGCATCTCTAGGAGACGAGAGACAACATCGTGCAAGGGCCTGGCTAACCCCGTTCACTTCATTTACACCCAATCAGGAAGATCCCTATGGTATATAGTTGTTTGCATGTGGAAGTTTGGTGGCTTAATCAGGCTTTTTATTCAATTTTTCTCAATATTGCACAGCAGACATCATCATCTCGGGGTCTGAGTTCATTTCTGAATAATCAGATTCCTATATGTATGGACAGGAAGTTAAAGGAGAACTATGGGGTCAGGGCTTTTCCCCATAGTTCTCCTTAGGGTAACGG